GCGGATTCGGGCGTCGCCGGCTCGGCGGGGGGCGGGTCGAGGGTCACCTTGGGGGGTCGTCAAGCGGGTGGATGGGCCTTTTGCGGGCGGCGAGGAAAGGGACCAAAATTCCTCCTCCCCGCCCGGGTGGAAGGAGGACGACGGCGAAGCCCTTGCGCCCGGGGCCGCCGGCGCGGCCGGCGCGGTGGATGAAGACCTTGGGATCTGAGGGCGGGTCGACTTGGCAGACAAAGTCGACCTGGGGAATATCGAGGCCACGAGCGGCGAGGTCGGTGCAGAGGAGGACCGAAGGGGAGACGGACGTGAGGAAGCGGTTGAAGGACTTTTCGCGCACCTTGGGCGGCAGCTTGCCGTGCAGGGGCACAAGGGAGAAGCCGGCAGGGAGCATGTCGGGGAGGATGTGCTGGAAGTAGTCGACGGCGGCGCAGGTGGAGAGGAAGATGATGCTGCGCTGGGGGCGCGGGTTGAGCTTGTCGAGGATCTGGGCGAGGGCCGGCATCTTCTGGGAGGCCGGCGTGAGGAGGTATGCCATTTGCAGAGAGGCGGGAATCTTGCGGTCTTCGATGATGTTGCCGTCGCGGAGGGACTTGACGCCCACAGCGATCTTGACAGGGTTGCGCAGGCCAACAGTGATGATCTGGGAGACGGCCTCGGAGACGGAGGCGCTGAAGAGACCGGTTCGGCGCTGCTTGGGGAGGTGGGAGAGGATGCGCTGGAGGTCCTGGCGGAACCCCATGTCGAGGATGCGATCGGCTTCGTCGAGGACGAGCATGTCAAAGGTGGACTGGCTGCAGTGGACGTGGGGCGAGGCGAGGAGCTCGACGAGGCGGCCGGGCGTGGAGACGAGAATGTTGGGAGAGTGACGCACGAAGAAGCTGAGATCTTGCTGCGTCGTGGTCGTGCCTCCGACGAGCAGCTGGGGCACGGCGATGGGCACGGCCGAGTCGGGGCGCTTGTCATCCTCCTTCAAGAAGGGAAGCATCTCCGAGGAGGCAGTGTGGAAGGCGATGAGGCCCATGAGAACGTTGTAAATCTGCTGAGCGAGCTCGCGAGTCGGCGAGACGATAATGGCGAAGACATGGCCACGCTTGGTGGGTTCGGAGAGGCGGAGCAGCTTCTGCACGATGGGGAGCAGAAATGCCAGGGTCTTGCCGCTGCCTGTGACAGCTTCGACGACGACGTCCTTGTTGCCGAGGAACTGGGGAATAGTGGCGGCCTGAACAGGCGTCATGCGCTGATAGCCCTGGCTTGCGACGAAATCAAGGATCCATCTGGACACTGCGTGTTAGTTTCTGGCATCTGCCATGGAGAAGCAATAGAGTTGATGAAGGGTTACTGACTCTGCCAGGGGAGGGGTAAGACCACGCCAGTCTCTGGGGTCCCTTCTTCTTCTCTGTGACCGTCGCTGAGGGCGCCATCGTGGAACGCAACGATGTGAGCTCGCGTGACAAGGCGTTGACTGCGACGTGGTCAATGAAGGCCTCGAAGTTCGGAGGAGGGGCAAGCACGTCGCAGGTGTCGAGGTCAATTGGTGGTTGGAATCTTGAACTTTTTTCTGGTTATCTTATCTGACATGTTCATATTGTTATCTTATCAGGGATCAAGCACCAGCAGTGGCCACACCACGTGACTGTCAGCAGGGCGCTGGCTGCCTGATGACGAGGGTCTGCGTGGTTGGTCATGGGTGAGGGAGGAGTGGGCATCTGACGTCTTTGCGCATCTCTCTGCGCCTCCGTCGAGTGTACAGCAGCTGCGAATGACATCGTGGACCATGAGGAGAGATGGCCTCGTTCGCCCAGGCCGACGGGCACAGCACAGTTTGACTGCAAAACCATGACGTTCCTCAAAATGTCACTAGGTGACCAAATTGCGACCCATGGCTCCTTGTCGTTGGCGCGCACCCGTGGTCCTGTCGTGGCCCACCCCCCCGGTCCAGTGACCCCCAGTCGCGTGCACAGGAGACTCACCGTCCAAGCCACTGGACTGGCGCCGGTGCAGCACCTGGCGGCCGCCGAAAAAATTCCTCTGGTGGACAGCCACCTGCCACCAGACTGGCCTATCACTTCACCTACCACCTACCTGCCTTACCCAAC